TACAGAAAACTTTACTTTTTTTAAAACTTTTTATCACTACACTAGAGTATAAAGAACAAGTTTGGAGGTTTATTACTTGTACCCCTAATAAAGTGAACTATTACTCATTGTACCACTTTGAACATACATATGAATGTACTCTAAAATGATTTTCTATACTCCAATGTGGTCTAATATTTTAAAGATTTTGTCTAATGTAGTATTTGTACTATGTACAAAAGCTCTATTGCTTAATATTTAAATTTATTTAAATTTTACCAAAACTTTCCATTGGATCCTGTTATATTAAAGTATATAAAGGACCCTATATCACGTGTACTGTAAATTTCTTCCCCTTCACAAGCTTCAGCTTCTGATATCTGTTTACCTAATTTATCAAAAAAAAAAGATAAAAAATTAAAAACAATAACGTATTAGTGATTTTCAAACTTTGTTACAATTTTTATGATAATAAGTTGATTATGATAACTTAGGAGATAAATAGACAGTTGTTATAGGTTGGGAAAATAACAATAACTCTCAAATTTCAGTTAATAGTCATTATAAAGCAACAAAAAAATCTGAAACTACTGTATTTTTAGAACTTATGCATAGTTTTTAAACAAACATTGTTTATTTATGAATTAGAATGCTTTTAAATATATTTTATAATATTATTCAAAAAAATTAAATTAAACTAATTTATAATAATATATAAGTAACAATAATTACTTTTATTTGTAAATGTTGTAACAATATGACTATAAAATATTATCGAGGTATTCATCATAACAATTATTGGTAATGTAATGAAAAAATATAAAGAACATACCTGCATATTTAAGAAGAAAGTCTCCTTTTGTAATTTTTTTCAAAGCAAATACCCCAAAACCTAAAATTTTTTATTCAGTCAAAACTTATAATTTAAGCCTATTAACTTATAACTTAAGCCTATCAAGTAGCCTTGTAAAAACAATTGTCAAAATAAATAGTTTATTTTATATAATATATTAGTCTATTAGTATTTAGAATATTATAAAATTTATAGGTATAAATATAACACATAGGTCAATGTAGACTATTAAAGCTATAATAGTCTATATTAGACTTCGTAGTTACTATAATAATCTACCAAAAAGTTAGTTAAATTCTAAACTTTAATTTCTCTTTTTGTTATAAACTTCTATATAATCTATACAATACAACATATATTATAAAACTAATAAAATTAACGTTAAAGTTAATTTCAAATTAACTCATCAGTAGGTTAGTATAATAAACTCACCTATTGATGAATTAATTGGAGCTACTTCGAACCCTTCTTGATCTCTGCCATGGCACAAAACTCTTCCTCAACAATAAAATTAATTTTTGATCGAAGCAAATACTTTGGTTCTGCCATAATTTTTTAAATAGTTTAATATATCGCCAATAATATTTTTAACTTATTTTTCTAATTTAATCAAGCAAGATAAAAAGCGCTTCGAGCGATAGCGAATATATCACAATTTGTATATTTTTTATTTTGTGTATTTACTTATAACTTCAGTTAAGTTT